GTTAAACGATGGTCTCGATGATATTCGATGGAATTGCATTACTGCTGATAAACAATTCCGATGACACACGGCAAATGACGACGATCGCACTAAATGGAACACAAGTTATTTTGTTTTAGCGTTAACGTTTATTTGAACAATTTAACGTAACGTCACTGTTAATCAGCAGTTACAATGATGATCATGACGATGAGATTTAATAATGTTGAAATGAAAGAGAATCTTGGCAAACATTCACGAGCGTGTGGTGATCATCGAGGTAACAACGGCGATCGTCGCGGATAATCCACAACGTGTTAGGAACCGGAAACGGATACGGACGAGGATTTCCTTGGACGATCTTCGCTACTGCGTCTCGTTGGATTCGTCGTAGGGCGGATTGTTTCGCATCAACCTATTTTTATCCATCGATCAATCGAATATTCGAGGGCGGCCAACCACCTGAAATAATAGGAAGAAATTATTTGCGATGGATGTGCATTAATATATAATAAGACGAAAATTATCAACGTCTGCATGTTATTTACCGTTTCTTATCCATTTCTGATTCGCTAGCGAAGATATAACTTCTCTGCGTCGGATCCGGTGGTTGCAACTCAAAAGCGTGCTTTCGGCCGCCTGAACTCGGAGCGCTGCTATGTACCCTAAAACCGTGCAGACACGCCACGCCGAACGCTTTGTCGGCATTGGCGTCATCGTAGAAATATAGCGCGGCGTCCTTCAGCACGCAATATCGTCTGGACCAGCCGGTGGGCGAGGACGTTTTCCGCGCGTGTTCCTGTTGTTTGTTCAAATACCCGAAACAATCTGGCCTTTGAATAGCGCACGCAGCCATCTCTCTCATTCTTAGCGAAGAGTCCAGCCAAGTGTCAATCTGAGAATGACATTGAATAGTCATTTGAAAAAAATTCTTTGTTTTTACTAAAAAATGAGAAAAAATAAAATGAGAAAGTTCATTTTAAAAATGTTGAAATATAACATCGTATATATATTTGCAGATATTTCAATAATATATTTAATATAATATTTAATTTCAAGTTAAAGTAGCCGAAAAGAAGTTAAATAGCTCATGTAACGATTCATTTTGCGTACCTGATCGTTCCTTTCGACAGCTTCGCGTATTACCGTCATCCATCGAGCTGCCGCTTCTTCGGTATCGGCCGCCAGTCGTAGCGTCGGAGCACCCTTTTTCTTTATCGCAAAACTGTGCACTCTCAATTCAGGCGTCTGCTCCACATCGTACTTGAGGAGCATTACCGCTCCCACTGGTTGCGAATCCTATTACGATAAATGCACTTTAAGTAGAAAGCTGACTCTTGACTTGCGTAAATTGATCCTCGACGCTCTCCACTTCAAATTTTCGAAATTACATTCATCCTATTTCTTACTTCTAAATTAAAAAAAAACTTTATTTTACTTTTGATTAAATCTACATATTTGAGGATATTCCTTTTAAATCGATTATCGATTAACCTATGTCGATTTACTGTTTCATCAAAGAGCTATGTTTCAAAGACCGACAAAAAATCAGCGCGCAGTTTAATGAGTTTGCAAGAAATACACAAAAATTCACACAATATTATCATTAGGCTACTGAAAAATCTATTTCGAACCATAAATTTCTCTCTAATTAATTGATATTTTTTTTGTTACGATTTCACAAAAATTCTTTAAGTAGATACTAGCATGCACTGCCACGCTATAACCCAGTGAACAAGACGTCCTAAAGATATCTGAAAGATTCCGATTTAGAAAATATGTTTTATTATCCGATAATGGCTTTTAATAGAATCCGTTTCTCGTACGTAAAATGTGATGAATGCAGTGGTGTACGATAACGATATGTATAAGTCACGATACGGGACAATTTGTACTATATCGTAGATTCCACTTTTATAATGAAGTGGCATATACTTTAGGATTGATAGTATATTAATTACTACAAGCAATCGATAGCTCTTCTTTCTATATTTTTCTTAATTATACCCAGACAATATGTATGTCTAAAAAAACGTCTAAAAAATATTTAAAAAAACGTCTTAAAATAATGTTTTAAAGACATCTATACGATAATCTCCAAGATGTTATTTATCGGGAGTTTAGATATCTTAAAGACGTCGTAAAGTCGTCCGATAGTTCCTTAAGACGTCTTGGAAATTTTAAGGCCGTCTTTCAGACATCTTTATGACTGCTTATTGTTCACTGGGTTACACTATAAATTTGCTCGTACTTTTCAAAGTTAGAACTGATAAGTCTCGCTTACCGAGTCAGTCTTGTAGCAATACAGGCAGTTGTCACGACGAAGAGCGAACCACCGTCGAACCCACTTTTCCGCGCACGACGACGTGGATTTTCTCCACAAGTACCCCGAGCAAAGTGGTGCCTCTTCAGCGCTCTCCTTCGCTCCGGTGCGCGCAACGCGCGGCGCCAATACGTTGCAGGTTCTTGCGACTTCTAATTCCAGAATGTCCGGGCCGGAGTGCGCCATTCTTACGACTTCCGAATGCGTGGACTCTATAACGTTTCTGCCGTTCACCGACATGATGATGTCGCCAATCTCGAGACCGGAACTCTCCGCGGGTGTGTCTGGCTCGATCGCGGAAACCACCACGGGTCTTGAGCCATGAATGCGGAATCCGAACTCGCCGCCAGTTTCGCGTTTCACAGTTACCCTCTTGTCGCTCTCTGCAATTATAAAGTATAACTACAGCTTTTTTCGCATAAAAACAAAGACATAAAAAAATTTCTTTGAGAAATCCTTTGCAGAAATTATCTCTTATATTTTTAGAAAATTTTACATTACAAAACTTAAAATAACAAATATATTATATATTTTTCACTAGATTTATAAGAAAATATGTAGGAGCATTTTTTAAAATGCAAGATAAATCTATGGATCTTTTTACCAACTTGATAGTAATACGCTACTTATTTAACACTTAAAATTAGAAGAAAACTTAACTAATTAAGTTAGAAGAAACTAATCTCAAATTTCTATAACTGTTTTATATTTTTATGTAATATTTCTATTTTTATTACATATTACAAGCTTGCTTACATTTATATTAGTTTAGGGAAGAAAACATTACGTTTCCTTTACCATGATTTCGTACAAAAGATTAATACATTTTAATTCCTCTCAGTAGCATTTATGCAAATCCGAGCTTATACTGA